GGGGGGGGGGGGGGGTACGAAACCCCCATGGCCCTTCCCTGACATGTAATCCTATTTCAATTACAATCAGCTGTTTTAACTGGCAATATATTGTTTATTTAATAAAATACACTATTTCGAACTATTCACAAATACATCGGTGGATCCGCATTTGAACTACTGCTGTTTGAACTATTGATCAATTCTGATAATGACTTCAGTTCGTGTAGTCCAAACGGTGCTATGGAAACGCCTCACCATGGAAATGTCTCACCACTCTAAAATCCACTTTTGTGGAATTTCTGCTTTATTTTGGGAAATCCTTCAAAAGTGGAAAAGGGCGAGGTATTTCCGAATATTTTTGAGTTGTTTCCCAATATTTATAGCTGAGGTGTTGCAGCTTTTTGAGGCGTTTCCGCATATTTTTGAGGCAATCCCGTTTTTCAAAAAAAAACATTAAAAATTTTATTTATTGAGGAAGGGGAGGAAGGCTAGCCACAACAACTTCTCGTCCGAGCCACATTCTTCTCATTTTCTCGTCCGAACCACCTCGAAATCCTCGTCCTTCGTTTATAATATGTGTTGAAAAGTTTCTAATCAAATCTGGCCACGTTAGGGCATAAAATATGGATAGACTTAAGTATTGCAATAATTAAAATCATGCTTGAATCTTTAGAGACATGAGAATGATGTCAAACCTTATTTAGGTAAATTTTAAAACTTCTGCCTCCGTAATGGCCTACCTTCGCGATAGGAAATAAATAGCAAAATATTTGGCATACCTATTACTATCATTTTCCCCATGGAACCACCCGGAAAAAATCTATGGTTTTCACTATAATTAAGAAAAAAAGATTAAAGTTATAAAAACTCGGACTTATTTGCGTCATTCTACACCAAGAATATCTGAAAATGCGCGTGAAAAAGATGAACATTTTTAAGGACATAGAGCTCGAAAACTTTATTTCAATTGAAACTATTTTTTCGATTTGCTAAAATTCAATATTTCATTTATGCCCTAACGTCGGCCGATTCTTAAAAAATAGTTTTATCTTGGGGGACTAGAAACTTTTAAAAAATAGCATTGGAAGGACGAGGATTTAGAGGTGGCTCGAACAAGAAAATGAGGAGAATGTGGCTTGGACTAGAAATTGCTGTGGCTGGCCTTCCTCCCCTAGTTAAGGTGTTTCCTCTTATTTTGAGGCGTTTCCGCAGATTTTTGAGGCGTTTCTGTTTTT